GGTTTGTGCAGAAACATAGAAAATCTGCTTCTCCGTCCAAGGTCCTCTGTGTCTGCAGGCTGCCGTCACTCTGAAACACCTCAAACAGGTCAAAGAGAACCTTTATTTGATTTTAATGTCATAAATCATTAACCTTCTTGCTTTGACTCCCTCATTTCTGCTGGAACCAAACTAACAGCAGCTAGAAAGGAGTTTAAAGTGTCGTTTACTCACCTTCAGATGGAGAAAAGAAGTTGCTGCACGTCAACAGCAGAAGTGAAGCTGACTTAGAGAACAGGCAGCGCTGTGACGTCACTGTTGTCAGGGCAACGAAGCAGGAAACACTTCTTCCTGAGGAAGTTTAAAGAAAAAAAAGTGTTTGAGTAAAACCTTGCTTTCTGAAAATGTGTATTCTGGAACATTTTACAGAATCACGCCAAAGCTTCAGCTCCCAACCTGATTTAATTCTATAGATATGAACCTTTTACTAAAACACACGGAAGGAAGAATGAAGACGAATCAAACACAGAACTGATGACTCCATTTCAACAAGAAATGTCCTGAGAACCTGTTTTACAGGAGCTACAGTCAGAGAGTGAATCTAGAAAAACACAAATATTCTCTGAGCTCATCTTTGTGTTTGTTTGCTGCTGTGGACTTTAATTCACTCATCATTTGAATGTGGACTCTGAATAGTTTCTGGTTCTGGTTTCCTTCAGTCTGTTCTTGGATTCTGTGACAGTTTGTTGTTTTTTGTGTGTGTCTGTGCTTTAAACCAGTTTGTGTCCTTTCTCATGTGAACTAAGGTGAAATCTGTGTGAGATAACTTCTCCACTCACCCTGATTCTGTTTGTTGCTGTTGTGTTTGTAAAGTTCAAACAGAAAATGAACCACTCACCCTGAGAATCGTCGTCTGCTTGATGAGGTGAAATAATATCCAGACAATCGGATTTCTGACCAGAGCGCTAAAGTATAACAGCAGGTTTATGAAGCAACACAACTTCCTCATTTGCAGCACTTCTGGTCGATTGATTCAGAACACAAAGGAAATGACTGTAGTTATGAACAGTGACCAGGAGAGGTGGTGTTACATTTAGGATTTATCAGCATGTGACAAAACTGAATAAACTGGTTGAAATGAAAGAAAAGAATCAATAAATTACACAAGATAAATATATGAATAAACAAATAAAAACACAAGAAAAACAATGAATGGATCTCTGAACAACAGTTTAAGGACTGCTAGGATTCACCGTTTATCCCGCCGATATTTTACTGGAAAAACAAGTTAAAATAAAGTCACAACAACAATCAACTCTAATACGTGTGAAGATGAACTTTATTTAAAAGCATTAAAGCCTTTATTTGTATTTACAACACGAGTCAGGATGATGCTTCATAATCATGTT